TTGAAACGTAATAATTAAAGTTGATGTGATGTAAAAGAATAAGAGAGATGATGAAAGTGATAGATAATTAAAGTTTATGTAAGTGGATGAATAGTGAATTAAAATTGATATGATGCAATATAAAACTAGTATGAATCCGGTGCAGTGTACGGGTAAGATATATTCATTAATATTATAAATTAAAAATTATTATTAAATAATATTTATAAATTAAAAATATAGAATCAAAATTTAATACAATTTACCTATATTAATTTATTGAAAATGTTGTATAAAGTTTAAATTGTGCAAAATTACATAAATATGTCTATTTAAAATGAATACACAACCCGTGCGGTACACATAACTGATAATAAATTACATTATATTCGTTTCAAAGTGAGTGTCATTTCAAATTTTTTGTTCAGAAATTCGATTTGACTATAATGTGATTTCATAAAATAGTTATTTTGGTAAAATTTTATCATATATTTAACAACCTATGTGAATAATAAGTATAAATATAATATTTTTATTGTTTCATGAATTAAAATATTTTTTTTTTTGTATAAACTATTAAAATCTAAAACTAAGTAGTCGAGTAGTTTACTAAACTATAAATAATTGAATATTTCGTTTACGTCCAAGTTAATATTGACTCATAAGTTATGAATAATTATTATTTATTTTAATTTTAAATAAATTTTTTTTTTCAATATATTATATACTAAATTTAAACCATGCAACTAATAAAGGTAATAACTGCAAGTTTTGTCAATATATTATAAACCAAATCTAAATCATGCAACTAATAAGAGCACCCACAATGCTTTGGGTCTCCTTTTGCATATGTGGCGAATAAATAGACTTAAGTCTATAATAAAATTGACAAATCCAAGCTAAAAAATCCAAATCTATCAAATGCAAAAAAAAAGTACTAGGTTTAGAATACCTAACAACCAATAAAAATATAATAATAGTAAATGATTGCTATTGTAAGGTTTACACTTGGGTCCAAAATAGACCCAAGAGTGGACTTGGTCTCTTTTTTTTTTTATTGCCACATAAGTTAAATTAGGTCCAGTTTTAATTGCATTGTGAAACACTTTTTTATAGACTAGGTCTATTTCCTACATGGCATGTGAATTTTTTTAAAGAGATTAAAGCATTGTGGGGGCTCTAAAGACAATAGCTGCAATATTTGACCAAAATGATTATGTACATTAATTACATTAATTTAGGCAAGATTTTTCAAAATTTAGCCAAAAAATTTACCCAAATTAGTAAATCTAAAATTTTAGGTGGGAAACAAAATGTTTTTTTACTGGTTTTTAATTATTATTTCAAGTAAATATTGTTGCCTCTTTATATGTTAATAGATTATTGATATTATTTAATTATATTGATAATATTAAAGACATAATTAAATTAAATTATGAGTTACATCGAATAAAAAAATTAATCTAATCAAAATTGATTTTGATAAGTTTTTTTTGACTCTTTGGCAATCAACCTAGCTAGGTGTGCCAGGGCAGTTTAAAATGAACATGTTATGTTACACAATGAACATGTACAAACATGATTTGCACATGTTTATTTTGTAACATAACATGTTCATTTGTGACACACCTAGCTAGGTGTACCTAGGCACACCTAAGTATTTGCGATCAACCTGAGGCGCACACACTGTCTGTGTTTTGATTAGGCTGTCCCCAAGTGCTTGAACAAACTTATTAGACACACACAAAGCATACCAAAAGTAACTCAACTTGTACGAATAAGTAGATTTTTTTTTTCTTTTTAATAATTTGGGATTCCATTTGGAACATGATCTTATGCACCTAGGTAGAAATGATTTTTTGGGATACTCAAAGGCCACTTGTAGCAATAAATTTAAGTTGGACATCTTTAATGATCTGTGTGATTAAAGTTAATAATAATTTAAATTATCTGGTGCTCCCGTGCTGGGTTATTAAAAGTATTCTGCCAAAAATAAACAAATTCAACTAAGATGTCTATTCTTTGCTTGGGTAATAACAAATAAAACTTATATTTGTGGTTAATGAAAAAGAATTGTAAATTAGTGAAAATCGTGTGAAATTTGTTATAAATGATGAGGAAAAGTATACGAATTTATTAGATGACGCTGTGACTTTGTAAAATTGCAACAAGTGTGATTCGAGAATTGCGAGTAAAAAATTATACGATTATATTATGTAATATGTAATTTTGTAAAATAGTGACGTGTGTTTCGAAAGTTGTTAGTGTCCAAGATTAAAAGTAAGACTCTTATATTAGAGAATAAAGACGTCTAACCCTATAAAAGAACGACTTAAGTCGAGCTAAAAAAATACGTTTTCAATTATTCTTAAAATTATTCTACAGTTGTTACCCAAAAGTTTTCACTGCTTAGACATCGAAAGATTTATCCTTGACGACAATCCCACGACCCTATTATGCCGTTGGCACACGGAAATATTCTCTAAGAACAACATTGGAATCGCATTTCGCCGCAATATATAGTAATTATGTTTTTTTTATAAAATATAACTGATGGTGAAATATGATATTAAGATATCATCATTCATACATAGTTAAAAACAACTTGATTCACATTTGTTTTTATAAGGACATGATGTGATATGAATCCAATGAATTATGATCTAATTTGGTTGGTTAAAGTAAGCTATTTTGAATAAAGTTGATTGAATGGATGGTTTTTAAATTTGTATTTAAATAATATTAAAAAAATAATAATTAAATCTGATGTGATGTAAAAGTAAGAAAGAGATTATTAAAGTTATATGCAATTAAAATTATGTGAGTGAATGTATGATGAATTAAAGTTGACGTAATATGTGAGGATGAATGATTAAATATTATTTAATAATATTTATAAAAGGTGTGAGAGTTGAGTTGAGTTTGATTTAAAGGGACGATTGGTAGGAAGCTAAAACTGGCTAAAATCAATTTTGATTAGATTATTTTTTTACTCAACTTTAATTGTTACATTTTAAATATTATTAAACTGTAATTTCTCTCATTACACTCAATCAACTTTATTCAAAATAAATCACCTTAACACAAGATTCAATGAAAATCAATTTTAATTGATTATGACTTCTTACCAATCGCCTCCTAAGTGTGGTGATTAGAAACTAAATAACTTGATAGGTAAAAATCGATTAAAGCTGGTTATAATTCACATGCGATCACACTCTAAGAAATCCACTACACACATATATATATATATATATATTTTGAAAATGTTCATAAATAAAATAAAAGTGAAATGAAAAATATAAATAGAAATAAAGTCTTCAACAAGGTATACACACGAGTAAACTTAACCTGCACTATTATTTAATTGTTTGGTAATATTATACTATATACTATGCAGATCTGAAACATTTTATGGGTTGGTAGGGTTCATTGAATGTTATTTTGGCCTCCCAAATTCATACATAATATCTCGGAAAATTCTTGAGACGTTACAGGCAATAAAATAATGAAACAACTTCTCCCATAATGCATATTATTAACATAAACTATACATGTAAATATAGATTTAAATTGAATGTTTGACTATGTATGTCATAATGGTCACATGGACATTTGAAAGTGTTAGATATTTTAACGTTTGAAATATTAAAAAAAAAATAGAACAAAATTTAATTATGACATTCGATGGAATATTCAATTTCTTTTATTGATTCTCCAATCATAAATACATTAATTGTCTATTTTACATTTTTCTATTTATTTTCAAATTTTTAGTATATATTAGATTCAAAATTAATCATTAATACTCATTAATATATAAAAAATATAATATTTATTTACTTACATATTTTTAACTCTTAATTATTATTTTTATATCGCATTATGACTAAATAAAAAAAATTTATGTCATGTTACCTTATACTATTAAAAATTTTAAATTTTCTTTATTAATTTCTTTTTAAGAAAATCAGCAAAATAAAAAAGATATTGCACCCTGATTTTACCCGTGGGCAGAGTTTTTTCTTTTGACAAATGGAGTAATCAGTCATGTTATATAACACATTATCTATTTATAGTAATTACTAAATACAAAAGAATAATTTCTGACATGATAATCCTGTGGGCGGTGGTAAGAGCACGTGGGTTTGCCTGCATTTCCTTCTTCACATGTTTTTCTGCCATGACTAAAGTATATTATTAATTTACATCAAATAATTTGTACGCTTTTTCTGGGGGATTATGCACATTTTTCGGGGGCTATATTTGAAAATTCATGAGAGGATAATAAAATTTGGTCTTAGTTGATTTTGGGGATAAGTTTACTATGATATTTTTTTTAGTCATATTTTTCTATGCAAATCTTAAAAAAAAAAAATAGCTCATTTGATATTTGCGATAAGGTTATATATTAAAGCCCATATGATAAGGGTCTGCCTAATTAGATTAATTCAAATTTGACAACGAGGTGAAATATCATTTTTGTCTCTTAATTTAGATGAAAGATAATGGTCATATATTTGACTATGTATGTTTTGATCTGTGAAGTTATATCAATGACAGAAAAAACCGTGTTCTCATTTGTTTATAGGGATATGATAAGATAAAATTAAAAACTCCGCATATGATAATGGCATGAAATGCTGTTTTTGTCCTTTATTAATTTAAAGGCAAAATAACTCGTTATATAAATTGCTAAAACATCACGACTTTTGGACCTTGACAGAATATCACGACTTTTGATTTCTTTGCAAAACGATACACCAAAGTCAGAAATCAGCCATCGGTGCTTACGTGTCCGACAAACTTTTTTACCTGGAATTAAAAAATATGACGTGGATATGATTGTCCCACGTGTACAATGACATGGAAAACAAGTATAAATATCCCTAAATCAGATTTTTGGAATTCAAAACCCTAATCACAGAGACATCAACGATTTGGGGGAGATGATAACAAAAGGCAAGAATCTGTCGACCAGGACATGAAATTCAACCTCATACAAATTGTGTTAATCGTTTTCAAGTGGGTGAAAATGGAGGCGTATTAGGTGGTGAGTGTTCCGACAAGTCTCTGATCGGGAAAACGTAGTGCGCGGGCCGACCGAAGGCTCTAGCAGTGGCGTAGAGCGAGAAGAAGGTTCCTGAGCTAGATCCGAGCTCTTGATCGTTATCGTCCACCGTTGAGGTGAGAAATTGGGAGTCATTGTCGGTGAAGTCTTGACGATCGAAGTCCCGCGTCACGGCGGCGCGCGAGCCGCAATCAACGAGGTGGTTGCCAGTCGGGGGAGAAGGTGGACACAGAGTAGAGGATGGAGATAAGGAGAGGGAGAGGGATTTCATCGTCGCCACTGGCAGTGAGCTTCGACGGTTTTCTGAAAGTTTTCAACTTTTTGTTATCTTGTTTTCAACGCTTATGAATTATGACTGGTTTGTTGTGGGCTTCAAAAATTTGGGCCAGAACGAGTTGGTAGAGTCGACATGGAGCTTCAATTGCATATGATTGTGGGATAATGCGTTCGTTCGAGCTGCAATTTTGGGGAATTAGGATTATGGTTCGTGGATTAAAATTAAGAATTTCGAAAATTAGCGAATTCCCAAAATTTGATTTGAGTTATTTATACTTATTTTCCATGTCATTGTACACGTGGGACAATCATATCCACGTTATATTTTTTTGTTCCAAGTAATAAAGTTTGGTCGACACGTAAGCACCGATGACCGATTTCTAACTTTGGTGTATCGTTTTTCAAAGAAATCAAAGGTCATGATATTCTCCGCCAAGGTCTAAAAGTCGTGATGTTTTAGCAATTTAGTAAAAAGTCATGATATAACGAACTATTTTGCCTAATTTAAATGATAAAATGGGTAATTTGACTGTATATTTGAATCATGAAATTATCATGCATTTCAAAGCCAGATGAAATTGATTTATGACTACATCAACGTGTTAGGAAATGACAATGGTATTTTTATGATTTTTGTTTATCCAAATTTAGATGTATCTATAAGTTTTCAAAATAATTTTATTATTTTGTTTACTTTAAAACTTAAATTGATAAATAAATGTAGTTAAATCTATACAACCCTTCAAAATATATGTGGTACATTGAAAACAAGCATACATTGAAAGTATAAATTCAAAGGATGATATTTTAGCTAATTATATACTAATTAAATTTATAAATAAAAAATGGGCGGTTAACATGTAATAAGTAGCATACATTAATTTATTAAAAATGGTATATATATATATAAAGTATAACTTGTGTAAAACCATATAAAACATATCAATGCACAATTATAATACTAAAAGAATCACATATCAACAAAATGATAAGGAACAATTAAAATCATTTGTTTAATTTGACACATATACCACAACTTCATCGATCTCATATACAATTGTAAATAAGGAAAAAAAAATCTTTGCATGAACCTCTCCTCCATGTTAAAAAAAGTGGACATATACTTATTTCATAATCTCTATGTATATGTTAAATACCTGCATAAATTTGTGTGAAGAAATTTGACCCGCTCACAATATATATGAAGGCTGATATGATGACGACATACAAAAATCTAATAAGATGACAGAACTTGCCAATTTTTTTTAATGGATCCCAATTTTCTTTTTTTTTCTTTTTTTTTTTGTATTGATTTTCCAACGGTTTTGTGATGCCAAGACTGTGTGATTATAATTTGATAATGTACTTGATACAATTAATTTAATATTATTTTAATTGATCCTAATCGTATTTATAAATTTTTTTTGAACTAAATATGAGATTCGTCTAGCCTGTGTTGTATTTCCAACATCATATTTATTTAAAATTTCAAAAAGTGGCTAGAAATATTTCTTATTTTAGTAACAGAACTACTTTACAAAATAAAAATTCTTGTTTAATCCGACACATATGGCCCAGACAAATTATCTACTTCAATTAAAATTAAATACTTAACCTTTTTATGCAAATATAAATATGATAACATAAAAGAAAATAAAATAAAAATATGCTTTAGAAAATATGTTAATAGATTTCTGGGTTATTGTTATTTTAGTACCTATACTATGGGGTGATTGTGATTTTGGTACCTATTCTTTATTTATTGCGAAAATACAACCTGATCTTTACGTTTTTACGAATTTGGTACCTAGTATTGACGTCGGTTTGCATGACTTTACGTTTCGGACTCGTTTGGGCTCGTTCGAACTCAAAATTGAGTTCCGTTTTTTCTACGCGTCGCCAACGAACCCCTCTATTCAATGATGCTTGTATGACCAAATTATTCTTGAAATACTATTCTCCTAAAGCTTATGATCAGCACACCAAAGACGTGTTTCGCGCGACTTCGCGTTTTGGGCCCGTTCGAGCTCGTCCAAACTTGGAATTGAGTTCTGCTTTTCTTTACATGTCGCCAACGAACCTTTCTACTCAACCATGGTTGTCTGGTCAATTTTTGGGCCAAATTTATTCCTCACGGGGCTTCCAACCTGCACACTAGAAACAAGAAGAAAAATAAAAAAAAAAAACACACGACACAATAAACTACAAAAACGAATAAAACCCAACGAAAAGTCCTAAAACGGGGGAAAAAAAATGAAAAAAAAAATAAGAAAAAACGTAAAAAAAAAATAGAATAAACACTTGCAAAAACTTCATCACCACTAGTTCAAATTCTCCAAAAAGCTTAACGTTTGAATTAACAAAAAATTAAAAAGTAGTAGTGATGGAGTTTTGGCAAGTGTTTGTTCTATTTTTTTACGTTTTTTCCTATTGTTAAATATGTTCTCCCACTGTTTATTTTTAAATGTCGTTTTAATATAAAACTTCTAAATAACGATTTTAATGGGTTGTGTAATAATCTTATATTTTAATCTTATTAAATTTAGTTTTTCAATTATTAATGGGTGGTTTTTAAAGATAATGATAAGAGATAAAGTTTGTTAAAGAGAATAAAGTTGTAAGAATGAATATAATATTTCATTCGACAACTAATTTGCAAAAATTTTGACATCCTACAACGACATTTAAAAAGAAACAGAGGGAGTACATATCACTTAAATAAAAAGTCTAAACCCGATTTTCATGGTAATCTATAAAATGAAAATATTTTCTATCAAAATATAAATTTTTAATTCTATTATATTTTGACATATTTGGCATATAGGCTTCTCATTTATAAATTGTGATGTATTTGCATTCAATTTCCATTACCTTTAAAGCTTCTAAAAGGCAATCGAATATGGTAAAGTAAAATTTATATTTTTTACAAAATACTTAGCATGTTTGTTTATAAAAAATTTTGGTTTTGTTTGGAGTTTTTAGTTTGGTTTGGTTAAATTTGAAAAAGATGGTATGACTAGTTGTTAGTGGATATATTAAATAATATTTATAATAAATTAATTAAAATTGATTTGATGTAAAAGTAGGAGAGAGAGATTTGAAATGATGGTTAGTTAAAATAATGTGAGTGGATGAATAGTAAAATAGTTGTTAGAGAGATTTGAAGTGATGATTAATTAAAATAATAGTTAGTTAAAAGTGATGGATCAATTTTGGTTCTGACTCGTTCACACTTTTATAAATTTCCAAGGTATACTCAAGTTAGAAAAACAAGATGAACATACAAATCCACAATAATAAGATAATATAGTATAGTATAACTTAATAACTATTATTCCTCCAAGAATTAAGGCCTATCGTTAAACTTTTGTCAGTGTGAAGGGTTTTGAGTCCTCTCAAAGCAATTAATTTCATTTTTTCGTACCACTATTTTATTAATCGTCGTGTTTGGTTGTTGTGGTAATTATATTTTTAAAATTAAATAATAAATTATGGTCGGTGATTTGGTGTATGCACCTGCGAACGACCAAGTTTGGGACGTGTTCAATTTTAATTGGGTTGTGAGGAGATATTTCTACCCACTTTTTATTTGTTTAACAAATCTGTTTCTTTTTTTTTCTTTTTTTTTTTATTTGGTCATTTACATGAGATTGGTAATTAACTAAATTGGGGGAAAATTGATTAGTGATTAGTGGTNACTAATATGACAGGACAACTATTTTTTATAGCTAACATAAGAAAAAATATTTAGTAAATTGCGTTATGCACATATGTTATTTATAGACATATTAAACAAAACGAGTCGTTTGAGAGTTCGAACTCATTTAAAACACATTTACGTAACGGTTCAAGTTCGAAGATAAATTTTTTTATCTAACTTTCTATGAATTTATTGGTCAAAACTCTAATTCGACTAGACAATATTTATAAAAGAGTCAAGCTAAAGGTTATTTATCATCTAGATTAGTTAATCTGAACTCGTCTTTTTGAAAGCAAGCATGAAATAGCGAGTGCTTTTTTAATTAGGGATGCTAGAAAAATTGAGACATTAATTAAAGGGTTAAGGTATACAAGCATAGCATGTGCTTAGCAACAAGAGAAGGACACTTGTAAATTTATGAGCGAGCTAAGCTAATTAAATATAGTTCCTTATAATCGAATTTTGGTACTTTGGCCTCATTAAAATAATAATAATAATAATAATAATAATAATAATAATAATAATAATAATAATAATAATAATAATAATAATAGGCAACAAGTTCAGAACAGAGCTGAAAAGTATAAAGTGGGATGATAAGAAAGATTATATTAAATCTTATTAGCATGTAAGATTTTATCTTATACATTGAAAATATTGCTTTCTTATGAATATTGATTAAGCTATATGGTAATTGAATCATAAATTTGGTCAATATAAATTAGCTTAGATTTTAATAGTAGCGTCAAATGCAGCCACTCACCATTCACCAAGGTCACGTTTGATTGAGTTTGACTAAAGCCATGTTCATGTGTGATTGAGTTGACTAATAAGTAATAACAACGTCATGTTTGATTGAGTTGACTAAAGTCTTAGGTGGAGATTGGTTACTAAGCACTCATATAAATAGCAGCCTAATTTTATGTTGAGTCCAAGTGTTAAAGGCCCTTATCCATAACAATAAACTGGGTAAGAGAATAGCTAAAGGGCCCAATAATTGAATTTAGTAATCGATCTGGTCAGTACGCTGTATAAGAGAGCCCACAAAATTCTTTTAGAACATTGTATTACAAAATGGAATTGGCTATAAAAATGTTAAAAATATCAACGTTCTTATGGTAAAAAGTTCAATACATAAGACACATCTTTGTTTGGTGATGGTATTTTGGGGTTATCGTATATTAGAGATCTAATGTGTAAAACATTTAATTCAAATTTAGATAATAGTTTTATGCATTTAAAAACTTAATTTATTTTAGAAAAAATATAAATGTAAAATATTTTTCTGAATTAGATGATTGTATTATTTTCATTAAATGGAAATTTTAATCCTCAATAACAAAAAGTTATAAATAATAATAACGTGCACAACAAAATTATACAAGTAATTTATTGTCTAACTGTTTGAAAAATAAATTTAAAATATCTCCAAATTAAGAATCCTTTAAATTTGTATATCTTATAAAATATACACATAAAATTACGCATATAATTATGAAATATTAATAAATATAGATTTAATGAGCGCTGCAATATGAATTAGAATATTATAAGATTAGTAAATCATACAATTGAAGAGAGTTATTTTAAATATAAATATTAATGTATTTTGTTCTAAAAAGAACTTATCTAATAAGTATTTTCTTGGCAAAACTGCATAAATATTTTTTTAAAAAAAAAAGAAAGAAAAAGAAAAGAAAGTCACCAGGGTAGTTTATATATATATATAAAAATAAATAAATAACTGGACAAAAATAAAAAACACGTATTCTCATAATACGTTTTTTTAATTTTTTTTTTTTTAAAAACGTATTATGGTAATACGTTTTAAAATTATATTTTTAAAATATCTTTTTTTTAAATAATTGAAAAAGGTATTTCAATAATACGTTTTATAAAAAAAATTAATAAATAAAATGTATTTTGATAATACGTTTAATAAATAATTAGAAAAATTTAATAAATAATTAAGAAATAAAACGTATTATTATTATTTATAAAACGTATTATGATAATACGTTTTATATTTTAAAATTAATGAAAAAAATTAATGTGTAGTATGTATTTTGTGTTTTGGATTTGTTTGGGCTCGTCTGAACTCGGAATTGAGTTTCGTTTTTTCCTATACGTAGCTAACGAACCCCTCTATTCAATGATACTTGCATGACCAAATTATTCTTGAAATCATATTCTCCCAAAGCTCTTGACCGATACATTAAACGTGTTTCGCGCGACTTTTCTTTTTGGGCCCGTTCGGACTCGTCCAAGCCCGAAATTGATTTCTGCTTCTTCCTATATGTCGTCAAGGAACCATTCTACACAACCATGATTGTCTGGTCTATTTTCGGGCTAAATCTATTTTTCACGGGCTAAATAATTAACAAGTCATCAATTATATAAATAGATGGTCCACAGAGGATTTGTTAATAGGTGATTTGTTAATTATTTAGCCCCGTGAGGAATAGATTTAATCCAAAAATTTATTGGGCAATCATGGTTGTGTAGGCGGGTTCGTTGGCGACATATAGGAAGAAATGGAACTCAACTACGAGCTTGGACGAGTCCGAACGGGCCCAAAAAACTAAGTCGCACGAAATACGTTTAATGTGTAAGTCAAGAGCTTTTAGAGAATATGATTTCAAGAATAATTTGGTCATGTATGAATCATTGAATAGAGGAGTTCGTTAGCTACATATAGGAAAAAACAAAACTCAATTCCGAGCTTAGACAAATCCGAACGGGCGTTGTTATCGTTCGCGGTCACGGCGTCTTCTACCTCCACCAATGTTGGCAGCGGGTTGATGCCTCGCTCTGTGTGACTGTGTACTCTGGGATGGGACGTAGTCCTCCTCGGATAGAACTTGACTGAATGACGCCCCTTGTGTGACCTCTTGGCCTCCAATAGTCAGAGAACTATAGGTACTCTCCCGGATGAGTGCACAGAAGATCAACATATTTGGATGTATAGGGGGTGGATCTTCTGTTGGAACATACGTGAAGTCCACTTGTTTGATAAGGTTCTCCGTCAGTTTGGGTGTCAGCAGTTCATCCCCCAAAATCCGATGATTAGTGGTGAGCAAGAATGAGAGACGCACCACAGAGGTCGTGGAATGACTGGGAGGGCATTTGGTGATCGGGCCGCCTTTTATTCACAGCTTACCAAGGGCTGAGTCGATGAAAGAGAACAAAATGTCCTCCAAGACGCCCTATGGATCACTTTCTACAGGATGAGTAGGGTTACATTGATTGGTTTTACACTAGGACTGTAAGACTTATCAGTGACCCTACCAAGTACACGGTGGTCCAACAGGACGGCGACTATCAGATATTTGCCGAGCGGGAGAAGTGCGATGTAAGTGTTCATAATTTGTGGTTTTTTATTATTTCTTTTTTTCTTTTTTGGTGTTTCATACTAATTATTTTGAATTTTATTTTCAGACTCAAGCCTTGGAGGGTAGGGGTGTTCACGGTCCGGTTTTAACCGGAAAAAACCGTCAATCCAGACCGCGGATCGGTTAAATGGTTAGTTAAAAAAGTCTTACAAAATCCGGTGGTTAATTTTTTTAAAAATCTGGAATATCCGGTCCGGTTAACGGATTACCTGCGGCAAACCGCCGGTTTAACCGGACCGGACCGGTAAATATTAAAAAACTATAACAAATATATATATACATTCAGTCATTCACTATGGCCGACAAATACAATACATTCACTATAAATGCTTTGCTCTTATTATTTCAAGTGTATAAACTGACTGAAAAATGAATGTTTGCTTGAGTTCAGTTTGCATAATTAATCTTCATCATTTTTGTATTTTTATGTTTATGGGAGGAAAAAATGTGCATTTTTATGCTTATGAGACGAATTGTGTACTTTTTATTTCATTATTGTTGTTTTTCTTAATTTCTAAGCCCAAATAATCTCTTTAGGACCCAAAATTGAAAAACAAAAATTAAACCCAAAATGAAAAAAATAAAAATTGAAGGCCCAAAACAAGTTTTTGATTTAACCGGTTAACCGCCAAACCGGACCGTCCAATGCGGTCCGGATTGTGGTCGGTTAAAAAATAAAACCGGTCCGGTTATGGACAAGAAAAAAAAGTTACCGTTAGGTCCGGTTTGGTCATGGTTTGGACTAAAACCGGACCAATCCGGACCGTGAACACCCCTACTGGAGGGGGCTTATAACTCGTTAGCGAATATTCAAGACATATTTTCTACACTCCTTCCACGGGCGCAAGCCGCATTCCAACAGTCCTATAACATTGTCTATAGTTATCTTTCCAACAGTCCTACAATATTGGCTATAGTTCTCTAACTGTTGGAGGCCAAGAGGTCACACAAGGGGCGTCGTTCAGTCAAGTTCTATCCGAGGAGGACTACGTCCCCTCCTAGAGTACACAATCACGCAGGGCGAGACATCAACTGCCAACATTGGTGGAGGTAGAAGACGCCGTGACCGCAAACGACAACAATGCCCGTTCAGACTCGTCTAAGCTCGAAATTGAGTTCTGTTTCTTCCTATATGTCGCCAACGAACCCGTCTACACAACCATGCTTGCCCGGTCAATTTTCGGGTTAAATCTATTTCTCACAGGGCTAAATAATTAACAAATCACCTATTAACAAATCCTCTGTGTACCATCTATTTATATAATGAGTGATTTGTTAATTATTTAGCCCATGAGGAATAGATTGAACCCGAAAATTGCCTATAGTTTTCTGACTGTTGGAGGCCAAGAGGTCACACTAGGAGCGTCGTTCAGTCAAGTTCTATCCGAGGAGGACTACGTCTCATCCCAGAAAACACAGTCACAGAGGGCGAGACATCAACCCCCTGCCAACATTGGTGGAGGTAGAAGACATCGTGACCACGAACGACAACAACGCCCGTTCGAAATTGAATTTTTTTTTTTCCTATACGTAGCTAACGAACCTCTCTATTCAATGATGCATGCATGACCAAATTATTCTTGAAATCATATTCTCCCAAAGCTCTTGACCTACACATTAAATGTGTTTCGCGCGACTTTGCCTTTTGGGCCTGTTCGGACTCGTCCAAGCTCGAAATTGATTTTCGCTTCTTTCTATATGTCGCCGACGAATCCATCTACACAACCATGATTGCTCTGTCAATTTTAGGGTTAAATCTATTCCTCACGGGGCTAAATAATTAACAAATCGCCTATTAACAAATCCTCCATGGACCATCTATTTATATAATGGGTGATTTGTTAATTATTTAGCCCGTGAGGAATAGATTTAGCCCGAAAATTGACCGAGCAATCATGGTTGTGTAGATGGGTTCGTTGGCGACATATAGGAAGAAGCGGTAATGAATTTCGAGCTTGGACGAGTCTGAACGGGCCCAAAAAGTAAAGTCGCACGAAACACGTTTAATGTATCAGTCAAGAGCTTTGGGAGAATATGATTTCAAGAATAATTTGGCCATGCAAGCATCATTGGATAGAGGGGTACGTTAGCTACGTGTAGGAAAAAACGGAACTCAATTCCGAGTTCAGACGAGCCCAAACGAGTCCAAAATACAAAACACATACTATATATTAAATTTTTTATTTATTAATTTTAAAATATAAAACGTATTTTAAAAATACGTTTTATAAATAATTAAGAAATAAAATATATTTAAATAATACGTTTTAGTTTTTAATTTTTAATTATTTATAAAACGTATAACTAAAATACGTTTTATTTATTAATTCTTTTTAAAACGTATCATGTAAATACGTTTTACACTGTAAAACGTATTTTGAAAATACGTTTTTTAAATAAAAACATATTCTCAAAATACGTGATTTTGATTTTTGTCCACATATTTTTAAATTTTTTGGTTTTTGTCACTTATTTTTTTTTATTTTTAAATAAATAAATAAATCAAAGCCACCACCTTTCAACTTATTGTAATGGAAAATAATATACACATATCTATATCTGCACGATGCATAAAATACAGGTTGAGATGAACCCACATCATCACTTCATCACCAACAAAAAGTGAGCAAACCCATGAATGTGGGTTTAGTAACCCCATTGGCGCACACACTGCATTTCCTTTTTCTTTTATTTTGTTTACAGTCCCATTTTTAATATTTCATAGATCGTCCACTGGCTGACGCCTTTTATTCAGGCCATTATCTTCTCATTTAATATTTGTGGGTCGGTTAAGTTCTTGAATTTTGTGTCCAAAATAAGATAAAAAGTGAATCTTGAAAACAGAGAAAACAAAAAGAAAAAGGAAAAAAAAATGATGAAATCTGGAGAACAGCATCAAGATGAACATGTTAATGAGGAAATTGGTCTCAAGATCGATGCCCCACCATCAAATATCCTCCCGACAGGTGCACTTTTTTTCCTTTTTCCTTTTCTTTATTTTTTAAATTTAAAAAATGGCTTTCTTAATCTGGGTTTTTTTAATTTGTGGAATTGTTTGGTGTGATAAATTTTGCTGTTCGCAGAGGGAAAGAGCAGAGGCAGATCCAGGGCTATGAAAACAAAACACTCTGTTGCTGAACAGAGGCGTAGGAACAGAATTAATGAGAGGTGAAATTTCTAATTAAGAAGCTCTTTATCCCTTTTATTTTCATGATATTTTGGTATTATGATGTCTTGATACTGCTTACATGGGTTGTGGTGAATGTACAGAAGTGTAAAAAACTAAAAACATCATACAGTAGTTCACTATTGCTAAATGACTTAGTTTATATTAATGGTCTTGTTTGGCAATTAGATGATATTGTCTAGCTGATAATTGATTGTATTAACGGATAGCAGATTGTATTAGTTGCTCTTTGACCTATGGATTCAATTAGCGGTTTGTCATATAAGTGTACTGTTCTTTTGAACTTTTTCATAATTTTGGGTCAAAAAAGCTAATCAAATAAGCTCATTATCCAAACAAGCCAATTAGCGGATTTGATTGGTCAGACCTCTAACCTGAATTGAGATACAATCCGCTAATTTAGCACCAATCCTCTAATAATCAAACTAGTCCATTACCAAATGTGTAAAATGTTTGTTCAAGACTTCTTGCTCTTAAATTCATTTGTTTGATCAAACTATCAGTACAAGAGTACGTGAATACATCTTGTTCTGAATTTCTTGTAAAGGAAAACTTTTGTAGGATAATTGATTAGAACGACGCATGAGCTGCTGTTAAAACACCAAATCTTGTAGTAAAGTAGCTAAGAAGAAAAAATCCAATATTCAATCGGTAATAGGGTGATTTTGAAATTAATGATAGCTCGAATGCTAAAAAAAGCGACACTTACGGTTATGATGACTTACTGTAAACATAATTTTTCACGCGCACTACAGGTTTCAAATGATAAGAAATCTTATACCCCATGGTGATTTGAAACGAGACACTGCAACGTTTTTATTAGAGGTACTTCATCCATTATATGCGAACCCATTTCATGTTTTTGCATCTTTTCCTATAAAGGTTTGGTTTTTTATTTTCGTTTATATATATATATATATCTTTATTTGTTCAGGTTGTTCATTACATACAGTTTTTACAAGAGAAGGTGCAACATTATGAGGGATTTTATCAACCCTGCAGTTCAGAGGCCACAAAGCTAATGCCATGGGTAAGTTAATTATTATTTATTTTGTTTTATCTGTAATTCTACGAAATTATACAAAGAAATTTAGAGTTTGCGTTATCTATTCGATTTAAAAGAATGATCAATGGCAATGGCGAGCTCAGAGCTTTGTTGATCCACAGAACAATCTCCCGAACAAGCCAATAAGCATGAATTTGTTTCCACTTGCAAACACTGAAAATGCTACATTAAATCCGGACTCACTTCGCGGGCCATATTCGGATGAACAATCGGTTGAAAGTCGTGAAGCTGTTGATGGACTCAACTGTCGGGATGATTTGACTGTGGAGGAAGGGACTATTAGCATCTCGAGTGATTTTTCACAAGGGTTTGTAGAGAATTGTGTATCATTTATTTAAAAAAAAAAAAAAAAAAGGTGTGCTTGTTTTAGTTTAGTCAGTTTACAGTTTTACTGAGTTGGAAGGTTTCACCTAATGCAATAATCAATCATGGCTAGGCTATTAAATTCATTGGAGCAAGCCCTCAAAAGCACGGGTCTTGATCTTTCGCAAGCTAGAATCTCGATACAAATAGATCTTGGGAAACGAGCATCTCAGGTTTGTGGCCGTGTTATATATCGACAGACTTCAGATATTTGTGCATTTTCGGGCTATTTCTATTCCGTTGAGCCTTTTTTTTTTTTCCTTTTTTCGGTGATCATAATATAGGGTCGTGAAGACGTGGATGAATTTCACAAAAAGCGGAAGATTTGAAAATCGCTAGCTGTCTGGACATTCTAAGGTCCATTTTTGACTTAGCAGATTTTGTACAAATGTGTTCTTATTTAACTTTTCCTCGTTTGATGTTTGGTTTGCGGATGAATGCAGACATGATTTCCATGTCGATGCTAGTAATAACGACATATAAGTAACCGCTTGTTACTGCAGATGATTTTGATTTACCGAGGTGAATATTTTAGTTTAATAGTTGTAGTAGTCACAGATTTCAGGCATTAGATTAGAGTGTTCGGGTAACAATTTGGTTAGAAACTTTCTCTTGTAACAATTTGATTATCGGTAGTATTTACTTTGAGTTTATATAAGTATTTGTTGTCTCGATAAAACATAAAAATAAAAAAGCCAATCCATCGTTCTCCTAAACTCGTGAGCATAAACTAAGGAGAGTATTTCAATCAGGATTTTTAAAGACTTTGAGATTTTAATAATTTTTGGTGTATTTATTCGAGTTTAAAAAAAATTAAAATTAAAAAGAAAAAAATAAAGTAATGGTGTGCAATCATTTGGGATTTTTAAGACTTTTTTGGGATTTTAAGAGGCAATTGACAACATAATAAAATTGATTACACAACTCTTTTTAAAATTGTCAGTATAATTATATAATATCATTAGTTATTTTCACACATCACATCAACTTTGATTGACTATTCATCCACGCACTAAATAATAGTACCAATTAATTATCTCCACACATCACAATCACATCAATTTTAATTCACTATTCATCCACTCATATATTTTTAATTGTTTATCACTTTCAATAACTTTTGTCATGTTTTTACATCACATTAATTTTAATCATTACATTTTAAATATTATTTGAATACAAAATTAAAATTTTATTTAATCCTCCATTCAATCAAATTTATTTAAAATTAACTCGTTTTAATTCAAAATTCAATCAAAGTCGGTTTTGATACATCCAATCCCCCTAAGAATCGTGATGTATGTAACATGAAATTTCTGAAACTTTTAGATCACCTGAGCAATTCATTTGGGATTTTCAAAAAATGTTAATAAACAACCATAAGTTATTCAAATTTATTTATCATTTGAATTTGTTTAGATTTCTAAGACTCACCGAAATTTCAAAGATGAAAACCATATAAGACATCTTATGTCAAATCATACCTTCACACATAAAATTTTCAAACCGGTTTACCAAATTATGTACTGACAAATTTCGAATTGTTATTTGATAATATTATAATTAGAAATCTACTGTACGTTTGCCATGTATATTTTCGATAATTCAATCTGTAAGCAGAAATGCAGAATAGTGTGCTGATCGACACAATCGAAAGATGTGAAATGTTTTTATATTGAATTACATCGAATTTGACTATATTTTTATAGTAAGATGTGAAATGTTTTGTTTATTATTATTATAATCCCTTCAAATTAGTTGGTATATTTACACTATATTGGGGATTGAACTCCCTTTGACTACATTGATTGAAAATAAATAAAATAAATAGTACAACATTACTTGGGCATGGAATCAAGTGAAAATTTCCATGAAATTAAAAAACACAAACTTTGTTTGCTACAAAAGTTAGGACCCTTTGTCTGCCACCACATAAACCCTACCAAAACAGACACATTTCCTCTTCCTCCTCCCATGATTAATCATAATCCATGCATAAACTTAATTAATCCCTTAAACTAATTACTATTATTTTGCTCTCTAAATTAATTAGCAAAAAAAAAAAAGTTTCTAAGGAATAGAATGATCTAGAGGGATGTGCTTGTTGTGTATGGGGCGCCTCCTTTTAAGCCAATTATAATCCATAGTGTAATATTCTGATTTGTTAGGGCCATCAACCCATTCTCCTTTTGATGTTGCTTCATATTTATGCACCACTTTTTCTTCATTTTCAGCTTCTAACTTGTTTTCTGCAATCAAATATGAATATAATATAGTGTCAGAATAACATTAAAAATGGACAAATGAAGAGGTAATTAATAAGTACATTACTTCAATAATTTAAATTTGTAATTAATGTTTTAGCATGAATTGTCTAGCTGAAAATTATCAAATGATGTTTATGGTTGTGTATCACTAGTAATAATCCATAAATGGGAAGAACCAAAATAAATAAATAAATAAATCAAAGTGATTTTTAAGGGAAAGAAAATTAGAAAAAAAAAAGAGAGAAAATAGGATTGGGGAGAGAGAGAGATTACATAAAGGTATGTTTTTAATTTAAAATATGATAATGTATGCTAAAACAATACTAAGAAAAAGATTTGCAGAAGCATGTGAATATTTGATCATATCAAACAAAATGTGTGACAAGATCAAACCTTTAACCTCCAATTCATGTCATAGTTAGGCAAAGTAGAAACAGCTTATGTTCACAATAATGCTTCTACAAATGATTCATGCATAAGTTTACATAAATTTTGCCTCTTTTTTAAAAGATATGTACCTGAAGAAGCTTCCATCAACTTCTTGCCTGGCACGATATTATCTTTGTCGTTTAAACTCTTCACAAGATAAACCAAGAATCAGCATTCAACAATGAAAACCAAAAATAAAAAAACAAAAATTTAAATATAAAAAGGGAAAAGTTGAAGACTATAAATCAATTTAATAGTTAAACTTACTGTATCTTGTTGGACTTTGAGTTTCCTTGGCAGCAAAGTCTTAGTAGATTTTGCATTTTCAACTGCAGAATCACCTGAAGAATATATGCAATAAAAAGTGTCAGAATTAATTTATATTCTACTCACATATGCAGAGAGATTCAAATGCCAACCCAAAAAAAAACATGTTCAATATTTAAATACATAAAATTAATAGCAAAAACTAATTACCATGTTGTCCAATAGATATTTGCACAGCAACTTGATCAGAAGCACAAGTTGGCAACATAATCAAGAGAACTACAGATAATGTAGCTAAGAAAGTCATAAGTTGCATATGCATCAAAGTATATAGATAGATAGATAGCTAATAAAGAGCACTATATAAGCTTTTTTTGTTTTTTTTTTTGTTTTTTTTCTTCTCAACTTCTCATGATCAAATGTGCCTTGTAAAACCTGAAATTTATAGAGCAAAATGAAGATGGTCCATAGGCAAAGTATGTGATAAACAAAACACAAAGCACAAAATTGCAGAGTCCCAAAAACCACAAGCACACATTAAAATGATAAAAAAATCCTATATTTTTATACTTAGCTTTTTAGGAAAGCTCACACCATTTGGGTTGATGTTTTTGTCACCTACTGTTACATGGTGGGGCCCACAAGCCTATAGTTTTTAGACAAAACACCCTCTTTTAAAGGTCAAGCAAAACTCAAAATGCACAAGTTAGTTTTTGAATTGATGAAAAAGTTTTATTTGATTAAATGCTTCTTTTAGCTAGAATATTATTATTATTATTAAAATTACCAACATTTATTTGTTTATAATATAGTGTTTGAGTAACCCTTTTTGGTCCCTTTGCCTTCTAAAGTCTATACATGTTATATAGCCTTATAGGCTACCATGAGATACTTCACTTAATAAACTACTTTTTGTTTAAGTTGACATCTTATATTCAATTATGTATTGACAAAAAAACAATGTGAGAAAAATTGCATCTGACAGTTTAGACAAAAGTATGCATACACTTGAATGTCATGAAATAACATATTTAAATGCACGAAGTGGAACATATATACTATGTAGAGATAGGATCTATATGCCTACAGAAATGTAATTTTATTAAATATTATTAAGAAAAAGTCCAGGAGAACAGCATAAAGATACCATTTTTAATCTAGAAAAAATGGTGTCACAGGTAAATGAACACCTATGTATTATGAAGCCGAAAGCTCGTTTAGAATCTACAGCAGAGAAGGCTCGGCCGCCAAAACTTGTGCTTTCGTAAATGTCTCCTGTCTGCTTTCGTCATTCTAACCGGGCTACTGTTCCATTCAGATTGTAATCTGCAAAAAATTCAATGTGTTTTTCAGTTAATAAGGTCTTAAAGTTAATTCAAAATCCTACATAAATCAAATATTCTTTGTTGGGGGTAGAAAAATGTAATTTTAGAAAGTAAATTTTTCATTTTTTTTATTGGGCTAAAAAAACTCAGGGCAATTTTATAAAAAAAGAGATATTTCAGAAAAAAAAAGAACACCCTGATGTTGATTTAGTGTGAAAATCAAGGGGCTATGTATCAATGTTTTTCATAAATGTGAAGGGGTTTTTTTGGAAATGTCTTTTTGCTTCTTATGATGGAAGTAAATATAAGTAAAAAAAATGAAAATTTAAGGTCTTTTTGCAGTTTTAAGAGTTGGCTTGGCTGGGGTGTTCTTTGTAATGAGACCAAATTTCAAGGGTAGTTTTTGCATATTTTGAAAGATGAGGAGTTTACATTGGGAAAGCAAAAGATCTTTCACTCGCTGCACTCCCGTCCGACCGAAATGAGACGCTCCCGGAAAACGGTATCGGCCCTGAGTGAGGGGCAAAATCGGCATTAGCAAAGCTCGACTCATCGTGTTCGTATTTTCCTCGATCCAAAACCGGTTCACTATCATTAACCTTTGCAACACTCGACCCAAAACCTCGAAAATTTCCATCTTCGTGTATTATAGCATTTCTCGATTTGCCGTTCGATTCACCAGCTGTCCCTGGTAATTTAGGGTCAAAATCGAAAGTAATGATTTTGCTTTCGACTTTATTGTTATAGGACAATGAGTTCGTTTGAGCGTCTCTCTCTCGAGCCACCACCTGAACCAAAAATAGCAATCTTTATCAACTTGCACTTAAAGAATGTTACAAAAGATTGCTTTTTTTTTTCCATGTAAAAAAAAAAAAAAAAAACCTGATCTGGCAATAGTCGTTCGGCTTTATTGCCTTCACCGTCTAAACAATCACTCACTGTCTTGTCAGTTCCAACACTACTCGTTAAATCATTGGCAGGATAACTTTCTGATGACAGTTTTGCCCTCCCGAGCTCGTCACCAGTGATCTCATCCGTACAATCCAGCGATGATGAATTTGCTGATTCATGTGATGAAAAAATTTCCATGCCATTGTTAGCTTCTTTTGTGGACTCAAAAGGGTTTTTTTCACCAACTTTGCTCGATTTTTTCACCCCTTCATCGACGCAAATGTCCTTCACGGCGTGAAAATTGGTCTCCAATACCTTTTTGTCGATAAAAGTGTCGGGTTCGGTCAAAACAGAATCTTTGACTTCATTTTGATTGGAAATCGGGGAATCTTCTGATGACGTCAGATTTTCGTTAGAACATGAAGATGATGATGACTCAGCATCCTCATTCGGGCAGCTAGGAAGGTAAAATGGTCCCTTTTGATATTCGTTTACGGTAGAATTTCGGGGTTCGTTTTGATTGTCCGTGGGGAATTCGTCCGTTAATTTCGAGTTCCAACTTTCATAGTTACCATTTACCTCAAACGTTAACTTAGAATCGCCAATCGTAGAATTTAGATCTTCTTTCATGGCGCTGTCTTGTTCGGAATTCGGATGAAACACTGTCATAAATTTGGAGATGGATTTCAAAATCAGGTTTACAGACAAAAAATGAGTTATTACCAGTAAAAATGTTTGAGAAAAACAGGGAAAAAGAAAAAAGAATGAAAACATTTTCGAAATAAACTCAAGAAATGATAATTTACCAGGTAAAACATTCACTAGGTGTACATAAACTGCAAATAAGGTAAAAAAAAATTAAAAAATAAAAACAGAAACTAAGCAACTAGAAAGAAATGATGTAAGAGTTAGGACCAGCTGACAAATCCCAGAACCAGTTCAGAACTTCAGATATCTTCATATGAAATAATAATAACTATGAAGTAAATGTAATGTACCATTGTTGATTCAAAAAGCCATTAAATAAAGAGGAAATACACAAAGAAAACGAAAAAAAGAATAAAAAGTGGACTCTCTTTACTCTGTTATAACAACCCCACTGTGAAAGGACAACTACTCCACAATCATAAAAACTTGATTACCAAAACTAAAAAAGAAGCAATCTTTATTAATACATACGTGCAAACAACAAAAGTGACCAAGATATTATTTTTACAAAGTCAGCAATTTCAAATAATGTAATAAGTCCAGGTCTTGATAGCTCTTTCCAGCCAAACCCACCATCTCCATTTAGACTTTGGATCATTTAATTGAAAAAATAAAATAAAAAAACAAAACACAATCTTGGTTCTTGATTATTAATTACCTCAGATTTTCTTCATAAAGAAGGGGAAAACAACAATTGTTTACAATGCCAGTAAATAAATTTGTAGAGGTAAAAACTAGAAGACAACAAAAAGTGGCACTTCCAAAAGTACCGGATAGATACACTTTTAACAGGGTAATTTCACCCTACACACGAAATAACCCAAATTTTTTACCAATGTATCAACACACAAGTGTGTGTATGCATGTGTTGATCTAACGGTAAGAAACCCAATTACTACCGCAGTTATATATAAGGTCAAATCTTCCTTTTAACAGCCAGAGAGCACTTTTACTTTGGTCCTGCAAATTTTTGGCTTCCAATAAAAAAACCCCAACATCAATTGTCCTTATGCACACAAACACACACCCCACCAGATCTAACTACATCCTTTTTATACTAAATTAGCTTATTGGTCCAATACTTTTATCCTGTCCTCTAATCTCAAGTTCAAACAGAATTTGTAAATTATATCCAAAAAATGACTCCAAAAGGCCCAACTGACAGATTTGATCTTATCTCATCCCTATACATCTAGAATCCTTGTCACAATTTCATAACAGAAAATTTGAAAACAACCAAATAAAGATACAAAACAGTAAAACTACAAAAACCAAAATAAATAAATAAATAAATCAAGGAATTACCTTTGCTTAAACCTTCCTCCCTTTTTAAGAACCCACAATAGAATCCAAAAAGTCCTTCCTTTTCACTGCAACACAGAGACAGAAGAGAGACCAAAAAAATTACTAAGATTCGAAAATTGAAACTGTAACAGCACGAATGGCAACGTTTGACAAACCCAAAGATCCAAATACAAACGCATCAAGCCATAAAAATCCGTTCTTTACATTTTCTTTCCCCTAAGTTGTGGTTTTTAGCCCTTTTTTCTCCTTAAAGATGGAGAATATTTGGTAATGAACTCACCGTTTTAAAACAGGGCACAGCATGAATGAGCTTTGTAGAGAGAGAGAGAGAGAAGAGAAAGCTGGCGAGTGTGGCTATGGCGTGCACATTCTATCTCGTCGGAAAATGGGTCGGAGTGAAAAGAGGATCCCGTTATCAGCCACTAAACCACGTAAAATTAGTCAACCGCCCCACTTTTTTCTCTCTCTAAAATGTATATGGAGTCGCTCTCTCTCTCTAAGCTCGGGTCTTTCTTTTTTTTGATCGGTAAAGCTCGGGTCTTTCTTGATACAATGAACGGTGCATCATTACATATGACCTATGCTTATAAATGGGATGGCAATAAATGTCGTTGAATTTTGCCATTTAAGGTTGGCCAAAAATTAATTAGCAAATTCCAACAATTTTTACATTCATACTTAAGCGTGCTTGTATACACATATATCCGTTAATTTTTTTTTTATTATTATTAATGAAAATTAATTTTGAAATAATTGGTATGATTAGTTGTTAGTGGGATTTTGAGTTTATATTAAAATAATATTTAAAATAAAAAAATTAAAATTGATTTGATGTAAAAAATTGAGAGAGATGGTGTGAAATGATAATTAGTTAAAATTATGTAATTTGATGAATAATGAATTAAAGTTGATGTAATATGTAAGAATGACTGGTCAGTATTGTTTAATTATATCGATAATATTGAAGATAGTGGGCTTGGGTTAAAGTTGAGTTATATTTTGAGTATGAATTGATATGAGTTGAAATAATTTATAAACAAGCACACCCTTAATTATCTACTAGTATGATTGTATGTGTAACAATGAATTTTATGAAAAAATATAAAACGTTAGAATAACTTGATTTTATTTCGATCAAATGATTTTGCGCTACAATATCTCTATATGTCTGGATTTCAATTTGATCTTCAAATGAATTTGACAATTGAATCTTCTTTGGGCTTGATCATTAATTTCTTATTCGCATATTAAATGTTAGGACTTGATTTGATTGAAGACGATTTCTTGACGGTTTTGATCTTTCTTGAAGAGACTTGGACTTAAACGTCGATTTTTTCTTTAACACATTTGGATCTTCAAGCGAATTATTCAGAGCTCTTGAACTTGACACTTTGATTTACGAGGTGTGATTTTTGAATTTGGGAGAGTCCCTATCTATAGGTGTATGAGAGAGAGGCTTAGAGGAGAACAAATCGATTTGATTGGTCTTTGTTAATTTGATATAATCTGTTTTCTTATACTGTGATTTGACTTGGTAGACAAAAAATAATTACTTTATTAATTATATATCTTATTTATTTTGAATTTATGTCCAAAAATAAAAAAAAATATGTTAATTAATAAAATATTAAAATTTTGATGTTATACAATAGAGCAACATTAAATGTACTCCACTTTATATTGTTGTTAAATGAAATAAACCGTTTATTAACTCGGCTCGATTTATTAATCCTCGAATTCGACAAGCTCGAACTCATTAAAATTTTGATTAGTTGTTGAATTGGGATCGACTCATTAAAGCTCAAATTGAGGCTCGAGTTCAACTCATTTAATATTGGTAAATGGGCATTAACTCGACTCATTAATATTGATAATTGAGCAAGTCTGAACTTGAGTTTGATTAGTGGCTTATTTAGTTAACGAGCCTAAATTATGTGGGTATATTATAATTGTCGCGCTTTAATATATAGGGGATCTAATTAAATATAAAATCAATCAATGACATGACTTATATCCAAGACGCATTCATAGGTGTGTGTTGCTATCTTTTGTGTTTCTCTTTAATTTGTCATTTTAGTCCAGTTGTGTCCTGCTTCTAGTCTCCTGTATGGAGTTTGTATCTCCTTTTTTGGAGTTTTTGTTTTGTAGGTGATTGTATCCCTTGGTCGTATGTGTAATTTTAAGTGGTGGATCCAGTCTTAATTTGTGTTGGCTCTAGAGGTGTCCGTTGACACCTTGGGTGTACTCTGTTTTGAGTTTTTTAATATACTTATCATTTGAAAAAAAAAAAAGGAGAAATGTGTAATCGTGCATAAGCTTTTGATTAGTTTAATTGTTTTTTATTTTTTTATTTTTTTGTTAATTTAATTGGTTTTTAAGGGATGCTTGTATATAAAATATTTTTGCTTTGATTGGGTAATTTTGAAAAATGTGGTATGATTAGTTGTTAGTATAATTTTGAATTTATATTTAAACAATATTTAAAATAAACGCATTAAAATATATTTGATGTAAAAGTAGGATATATATGATGTGAAGTGATGGATTGTTAAAATTATGTGATGGGATGAATGATAAATTAAAGTTGATATAATGTGTAATAATTATTGATGTGTATTATTTAATTATATTAATAATATTCAAAATAATAAAATTATATTAAAATTGAGTTAGATTTGAGATAAAAAATTAATTGGCTAAATACGATTGATTTTTTTTTTTTAAATAAAATAATCTTGTATCCTAACATGCTCTTCATTTCTAGATAGCTTGTTTTTATGAATTAGGCCAAATAGTAGACAATGAAGCATTACTGTTTGCTCTAGGCGAGTGTGCTTTTATTATCCTGTTGGGATTTACACTCGGGTATTACCCTGTTGGGGTCCTTATGTGTTGTATTACCCTGTTGGGGTTTGTGTGTTGTCTGTGTTTTTACTGTTTGCATTTTGGTTGCCAGATAACCATTATTACAAGGACATATTTTATCATTTATATATATTTTATTTTATTTCAAATGCGACCTAACGGATTGACTCATTTAAAAATTAAGTCATCCCACATTAGAATTTATGTATATCATGTTATTATTATATTGTTAATTTTATGAATGCGAAGCCTTTCATTTTGACTTTTTAATATAAACTAGTACAGAACCCGTGCAATGCACGGGGTGCACAATTTTAAGGCTATTTATCCAGGCTTATAATTATATACATGAATAAAGAAAAATGTACGGGATATATATAGTACGTGACCTGTGCGAAACACGAGATATATTTATTTGGAGAATATTATATTATAAGATGCAATATTCAATAAAAGTTATAATACGCAAGAAAATTGTACAATGTTCAATAAAAGTTTTATAATATTCAAGTGGAGTCTTAAAGTCTCTTGTACATTAAGACTACTGACAAAATAATATTTTAATCAATGAGTTTCCTTTCCTTGTAACCAAATTGTGAATGTGTTTGAGGAGTACAACAAATCGATATATAGCTGACTTGTTTTTTTCATTGTAGTTTTTTTTCTTTTTTTTATAATGAATTTAAAGATATTCTAAAATACCTAAAATTAATTTTTTTATTACAATTAGGAATTTTACTAAATATAAACTCTCAATCTATGGTGTTAATCAATGTTTAAGTCTAAAAAATTAGAAATTTTTACCTCTTTTAATCAACGTTTAAGTCTAAAAAACAATAGAGTTATTATAAGTTTTTTTTCTACATTTTTTGAAACATTAAATATGAGTATGTTAGGGCTAGCTTGTAAAATAATTAATATATTATCTCACTAAAACATTTATATTAATAAAAATTTAATTTTAACATATAAATTTATCCCTTGATATAAGAGAAAGTAACAGTTTTACTTATTGTCGTTCACCATATAATATTTAATTATTATTTTATTATATAATAAAAAAAATATTGTTAAATAGTATAGTAGAATTGTTATAAAATTATATGATTTCTTTTTTTTTTGCAATATGGATTTAATATTTTTTTATGATTTGATAATATAAACAAATCTATACTTAACTTTGACAAATAAAACAAATAAATACTTTAGTAAGTATTTAATGTATATACTAAATAGAAATATATTTGGCATAATAAAATACCAAATATAATCAAATAAGTCAAAGTGTACATTTTTATTTGGTATTTGATTTTTTTATTATTAAAATCTTTTTATTATACTTACCTTTTTAAAATAAAATAAATAAATAAATCAATTAAATAAATAAAATATTATAATATCAAAATAATAATGACATTTAATGCAGTTGACTTTTCTGGATAGTAAATGTAGTAAATAGAATCTACTTTTATATAAGTATAGATTGTATAATACGGAAATAGTAATGCAATAAATGTTGTTGACTTTTATATATACTAAATCTGGTAAATGGTATACCTTTTAATATAAGTATAGATATGCATAATTCCAACAATCAATATTTAAAATGGTATTTCGAATTTTAGTCCATTTAATTGATATAAAATATAATAATAATAATTAATGAAAAACGAGAACGTTTGATCAGACATCAAATCATGTGGTGCATCTCTATTGCGGTCAATTTATCGGTCATGATCAGTGCATCGGTTGACGTTCATAAATAAGGTAAACATTAATTACACTTCCATGAGGACATGAGTAGGTGAACATTTTACACCACATTTACCAAATTTGCTCCCCAACAATTTGTAAAATAGAAAACAGTGAATATATAGAATAAAATATTCAAATAATTTTTTATTCATCATTATAATGCTACAATAATGGGTAAATATAACTAGTTATCATGGGTAAAATTTTGTTTTATGTGAATAAAATTGGTTTTCACCAATTAATATTGCATTTTTTTAAAATGGAACATTTAAAAATTATTTAAAGTAATTTTAGGGTGAATGATCAATTAATTTTAAATTAAAAATAAATTAAAATATAGGAAGGTGTTGAATTAGTATGATATATATCTTTTTTTTTGCACCACCCACTTTTAAGAAGGTGTTTTTGGATTTTGAACATATGATTTCCTACATCTATAAGTATCACTTATGCATAATATTTTTCTAAAATATTAGATAAACGATAGCTAGTTGCATGATTTCACATTTCATATTAAATAAACAGGTGCTAGTTTCGAAAGGCGTTTGCTCGTGAGTATTTTTATTAGAACAATTTCGTTTTACGGATATATCGTAATTTTTTATGTGGATTTTGCTTTTTCATTTCAATTTTTTCTTTTTTTATTGAGTCTTAATAACACTTTATTAAGGTACTCTTGATTTTTAAATTTCCTTTCATTAATGTTTTAGCAAAATTTAGAATTTACTAGTATTTGACCTGTGCAAATGCACAGATATAAATAAATTATTGTGAGTCTGTACATATAATGATTAATTATTTTTCTTTCACTTTTTTGCAGACCAAATTTACAATTAAAAGAGTTGGAATATTTTTTTTTTAAATTGCGTTTATCTGATTAGATGTAATGTATATTTTGGTACGTCTTTTATTTGTGAATTATTTATTATTT